TGGGCATACAGGCAATTTAGGCTAGGCACTGTGCCACCACTGACAAAGTTACTACTATAAAACAACTGAAACTTGCCAAATTTGTCAGTAGCAGAAAATATTTTGCCTACTGCTGCTGCTGGACCAAAACAATACAAATGTACACTTGTGTTTGATAATACCAAGTGCCCTTTAGAATGCCAGTAGAGCACAGGGGTGGAGGCTCAATGTCACAGAGAGCATATGCCAGGTCAAAGAGAAAAATACAGAGGATCAGAGTGTTTTCAACTCCTAGAGATTATGCAGGTTTGTCTGTGTGTGTTTGGTGGTGCATTCAAACCCACAGTCCTGGATATTGCGTCAATCAGGCAGTGAAACAGATAAAGTGTATTAGTTGGGTAATCTATAGAAGAAGCGAGGAGATCAGAGGAGGAGCTATTCCAATACTTGGTCAATCAGTGTAAGCCTCATTATTGCTCAGAAACAGCTGGTGCTTTCACAATAATTGTCACAACTCTTCACAAAATAATACAATATAACAGGCATATGTGCAGTATAGTATGAGAAATAAACCTCAATTTGATATTTTTCTCTCTCTGCATGCAGTGTGTACATAGCGCACATTTCCCAGTCTTTAAAGAGGATTAAGTGATGCATGTTATGGCATTTCAAAGAAAAAACTCAGTCACCTCACTGGAGAGAAATAAAATAGAAAAATGTGGATCTGCAATCCCACCGCCAGGCGCCAACACACCACACATTTGTCCTCAAAATGTAGCCCGACTCACAGAGTTAACAAGCGAACCCCCTGGCAATACATGCCAGAGGAGAAGGTTAGGAGAGATAATACCATATGGGAGAATGCACCCTGAATGGGTTTTCTGAACAGATCTACAAGTAAAAACATGGAGATCAGTATGCTACTATGGCTGTGTTTACACAGGCCGCCCAATTCTGATTCTATTGGCAAAGGAGCTGATCTGATTGGTCAAAAGACCAATTAGTGGAAAAATATCAGGATTACAGTATTCATCCCCCTTGGCGTTTTTCCTATTTTGTTGCATTACAACCTGTAATTTAAATGGATTTTTATTTGGATGTCATGTAATGGACATCCGCAAAATAGTCAAAATTGGTGAAGTGAAATGAAAAAAATAACTTGTTTCAAATAATTCTAAAAAATAAATAACAGAAAAGTGGTGCGTGCATATGTATTCACCCCCTTTGCTAGGAAGCCCCTAAATAAGATCTGGTGCAGTAAATTAGTCTCCCGAGTGGTGCAGTGGTCTAAGGCACTGCATCGCAGTGCTAGCTGTGCCACTACATTTTACATTTACATTTTAGTCATTTAGCAGACGTTCTTATCCAGAGCGACTTACAGGAGCAATTAGGGTTAAGTGCCTTGCTCAAGGGCACATTGACAGATTTTTCACCTAGTCGGCTCGGGGATTAGAACCAGCGACCTTTCGGTTACTGGCACAACGCTCTTAACCACTAAGCTACCTGCCGCCCACTAGAGATCCTGGTTCGAATACAGGCTCTGTCGTAGCCGGCCGCGACCGGGAGACCCATGGGGCGGCGCACAATTCGTCCAGGGTAGGGGAGGGAAGTCCAGGGTAGGGGAGGGAATGGCCGGCAGGAATGTATGCGCTCACTAACTGTAAGTCGCTCTGGATAAGAGCGTCTGCTAAATGACAAATACATTTTAAAAAATACCTTCAGAAGTCACATAATTAGTTGAATAAAGTCCACCTGTGTGCAATCTAAGTGTCACATGATCTCAGTATATATACACCTGTTCTGAAAGGCCCCAGAGTCTGCAACACCACTAAGCAAGGGGCACCACCAAGCAAGTGGCACCATGAAGAACAAGGAGCTCTCCAAACAGGTCAGGGACAAAGTTGTGGAGAAGTACAGATCAGGGTTGGGTTATACAAAAATATCCAAAACTTTGAACATCCCACGGAGCACCATTAAATCCATTTTAAAAAAATGGAAAGAATATGGCACCACAACAAACCTGGCCGCCCACCAAAACTCACGAACAAGGCAAGGAGGGCATTAATCAAGGAGCTCTCCAAACAGGTCAGAGAGACGAAAGATAACCCTGAAGGAGCTGCAAAGCTCCACAGCAGAGATTGGAGTATCTGTCCATAGAGCTTTATGGAAGAGTGGCCAGAAAAAAGCCATTGCTTAAAGAAAAAAATAAGTAAACCCGTTTGGTGTTCGCCAAAAGGCATGTGGGAGACTCCCCAAACATATGGAAGAAGGTACTCTGGTCAGATGAGACTAAAATTGAGCTTTTTGGCCATCAAGGAAAGCGCTATGTCTGGCGCAAACCCAACACCTCTCATCACCCCGAGAACACCATCCCCACAGTGAAGCATGGTGGTGGCAGCATCATGCTGTGGGGATGTTTTTCATCGGCAGGGACTGGGAAACTGGTCAGAATTGAAGGAATGATGGATGGCACTAAATACAGGGAAATTCTTGAGGGAAACCTGTTTCACTCCTCCAGTGATTTGAGACCGGGACGGAGGTTTACCTTCCAGCAGGACAATGACACTAAGCATACTGCTAAAGCAACACTCAAGTGGTTTAAGGGGAAACATTTAAATGTCTTGGAATGGCCTAGTCAAAGCCCAGACCTCAATCCAATTGAGAATCTGTGGTATGACTTAAAGAAAGTTGTACACCAGCGGAACCCATCCAACTTGAAGGAGCTGGAGCTGTTTTGCCTTGATGAATGGGCAAAAATCCCAGTGGCTAGATGTGCCAAGCTTATAGAGACATACCGCAAGAGACTTGCAGATGTAATTTCTGCAAAAAAATTGGTAACACACTACGCCGTGAAGGACTGAAATCCTGCAGCGCCCGCAAGGTCCCCCTGCTCAAGAAAGCACATATACAGGCCCGTCTGAAGTTTGCCAATGAACATCTGAATGATTCAGAGGAGAACTGGGTGAAAGTGTTGTGGTCAGATGAGACCAAAATCGAGCTCTTTGCCATCAACTCAACTCGCCGTGTTTGGAGGAGGAGGAATGCTGCCTATGACCCCAAGAACACCATCCCCACCGTCAAACATGGAGGTGGAAACATTATGCTTTGGGGTTGTTTTTCTGCTAAGGGGACAGGACAACTTCACCGCATCAAAGGGACGATGGACGGGGCCATGTACCGTCAAATCTTGGGTGAGAACCTCCTTCCCTTAGCCAGGGCATTGAAAATGGGTCGTGGATAGGTATTCCAGCATGACAATGACCCAAAACACACGGCCAAGGCAACAAAGGAGTGGCTCAAGAAGAAGCACATTAAGGTCCTGGAGAGGCCTAGCCAGTCTCCAGACCTTAATCCCATAGAAAATCTGTGGAGGGAGCTGAAGGTTCGAGTTGCCAAACGTCAGCCTCGAAACTTTAATGACTTGGAGAAGATCTGCAAAGAGGAGTGGGACAAAATCCCTCCTGAGATGTGTGCAAACCTGGTGGCCAACTACAAGAAACGTCTGACCTCTGTGATTGCCAACAAGGGTTTTGCCACCAAGTACTAAGTCATGTTTTGCAGAGGGGTCAAATACTTATTTCCCTCATTAAAATGCAAATCAATTTATAACATTTTTGACATGCATTTTTCTGGATTTTTTTGTTGTTATTCTGTCTCTCACTGTTCAAATAAACTTACCATTAAAATGATAGGCTGATCATGGCTTTGTCAGTGGGCAAACTTACAAAATCAGCAGGGGATCAAATACTTTTTTCCCTCACTGTATGTAAATGAAATGATACAAACCCACAAAAAAATCAAATTTAATTCCAGGTTGTAAGGCAATACAATTGGAAAAATGCCAAGGGGGGTGAATACTTTCGCAAGCCACTGTATAGGCTGCCTATTTGAATCTCTGAAACGATATATTTGTATTTCATTTGGAATTATCTCCATCTTATGTCAATGTTAATTAATATTTAGAAGCTAGTTATTACTTAACGAGCCTATCAATTTATCTATTTTAGTTCTCATTTTGACAATCTTAGTGACAGGTAGGGCTCCTTCCTACAATAATCCATATGGAGCTGTTGTGAAGAGGACAATATGACAGTTTGCATTGGCTAAAATGATATTGCACCCATCCACAGTAGTGGCAGATGTTTTCAGTGCTGGTTAGTAGTGGCTACTCTGCATCACATGGGTTAGTGCTATACATTGGTGATGGATGGAGGTGAGCTATCATTTCTGATCCTTAGCTCATACAGTACATACACTGAGTGTAGAACATTTACATTTACGTCATTTAGCAGACGCTCTTATCCAGAGCGACTTACAAATTGGTGCATTCACCTTATAGCCAGTGGGATAACCACTTTACAATTATTATTTTTTTTTTTTTTTTTTTGGGGGGGGTGGGGTAAGGGGGGGTAGAAGGATTACTTTATCCTATCACAGGTATTCAAAACATTAGGAACACCTGACATAGACTGACAAGGTGAATCCAGGTGAAAACTATGATCCCTTATTGATGTCACCTGAGACAATTGAGACATGGATTGAGACAATTGAGACATGGATTGTGTGTGTGCCATTCAAAGGGTGAATGGGCAAGATAAAAGATTGAAGTGCCATTGAACAGGATATGGTAGTAGGTGCCAGGCGCACTGGTTCGAGTATGTCAAGAACTGCAATGCTGCTGGGTTTTTCACACTCAACAGTTTCCTGTGTGTAATGGTCCACCACCCAAAGGACATCCAGACAACTTGACACAACTGTGGGAACCATTGGAGTCAACATGGGCCAGCATCCCTGTGGAATGCTTTCGACACCTTGTATAGTCCATTCCCCAACAAATTGAGGCTGTTCTGACAGCAAAAAGGGGTGCAATTCAATATTAGGAAGATGTTTTTTACACTCAATAAGAATTCAATCCATTCTGATGGGGACTACTCAGTATCATGATAAAACGTAACTGAGGCAGAGAGGTAATGTGATTGATTGGCTAACATTATTGGTAGAGATATAAGGGAGTACTCACTCTGCATGGGGGAAAAGAAGACCTCTGACATGGGGGCGTTCTTGGTCCATTTGTAATGAGGAATGGGTTTGCCCGAGCTGGACTTACAGCTCAGTGTCACGTTGCCATTCAGCACAGATGACCCAGTCATTGTGCACACTGGAGGCGAGGGAGGGACTGAGAGAGAGAGATAACAGATAGTTAGAAACAACAGAAGAGCTATGAGAGAAACAAATGAAAGGATTTGGTCTTCTACATTTGACCCCCAATCGACCTCCTGAAGTATTGTATTAACCCATTTCAATTGAACAGGGTACTGTATTTCTAAGAATGGTGGCCACACTGCACAAGGTAAAGGAAATTTGCCAACACTCTCTCTCCATCTGTTGAAGCTGTGGGAAAATATTATAGAGACAGCCCAGTGCATATGTACAAACTGTACAGTTTACACTTTTATGTTTCCATCTCTGAGGCCTGGCCCAAAAAACAGTCAAGTATTTTGGAAAGTGCCAGAATCCAGGTGTCCAGTCCGGTTGGTACCTTTGACATTAAGGCGCATTTCTCCAGAGAGTCCGGCGGCTCCAGGGATGATGACATTGCAGAGGTATCGTCCTGAGTCTGACTCCTGGGTGTTGTTGATGTAGATGGAGAGATTGGCCGAGGGCATGGACAAGCTGAACCCAACACGCTTCCTGAACTCAGGACTACCTATCCCTGGCTCACCATTACTGTAGGAGATGACCTGCACAGACAGACAGACAGACAGACAGGGGAAATACTTTACAATAGGGAACGCAACAGTAGACTGTGTTCCCTATTGCAATTCAGGAACCAAATGTACTGTCAGCAAATTATTTTACCCAGGATGAGCACTCCATTCCATAAAAGCCTTCTAGTAGCGCCGGCATAATGTATCTAAACTCTACATATTGTTAGCCTTTTCGAGCCAGCATTTGTGTTGCTTGTCGAGGAGAGAGACTAGCATTTTTGCAACACTGCACGAGAGGGTTTGTTGTAATGAAAACCAATGCAAGTACAGTGCCTTGCAAAAGTATTCATCCCCCGTGGCGTTTTTTCCTATTTTGTTGCATTACAACCTGTAATTTAAATTGATTTTTATTTGGATGTCATGTAATGTACATACATAAAATAGTCCAAATTGGTGAAGTTAAAAAAATAACTTGTTAAAAAAAATTATACAAAATAAATAACGGAAAAGTGGTGCTATGAAGCCCCTAAATAAGATCTGGTGCAACCAATTACCTTCAGAAGTCACATAATTAGTTAAATAAAGTCCACCTGTGTGCAATCTAAATGTCACATGATCTGTCACATGATCTCAGTATATATACACCTGTTCTGAAAGGCCCCAGAGTCTGCAACACCACTAAGCAAGTGGCACCACCAAGCAAGCGGCACCATGAAGACCAAGGAGCTCTCCAAACAGGTCAGAGACAAAGTTGTGGAGAAGTACACATCAGGGTTGGGTTATAAAAAAATATCCGAAACTTTGAACATCCCACGGAGCACCATTAAATCCATTATTAAAAAATTGAAAGAATATGGCACCACAACTAACCTGCCAATAGAGGGCCGCCCACCAAAACTCACAGACCAGGCAAGGAGGGCATTAATCAGAGACCAAAGATAACCCTGAAGGAGCTGCAAAGCTCCACAGCGGAGATTGGAGTATCTGTCCATAGGACCTCTTTAAGCCGTACACTCCACAGAGCTGGGCTTTACGGAAGAGTGGCCAGAAAAAAGCCATTGCTTAAAGAAAAAAACAAGCAAACAAGCAAACACGCCAAAAGCTATGTGGGAGACTCCCCAAACAAATGGAAGAAGGTACTCTGGTCAGATGAGACTAAAATTGAGCTTTTTGGTCATCAAGGAAAGCGCTATGTCTGGCGCAAACCCAACACCTCTCATCACCCCGAGAACACCATCCCCACAGTGAAGCATGGTGGTGGCAGCATCATGCTGTGGGGATGTTTTTCATCGGCAGGGACTGGGAAACTGGTCAGAATTGAAGGAATGATGGATGGCGCTAAATACAGGGAAATTCTTGATGGAAACCTGTTTCAGTCTTCCAGAGATTTGAGACTGGGACGGAGGTTCACCTTCCAGCAGGACAATGACCCTAAGCATACTGCTAAAGCAACACTCGAGTGGTTTACGGGGAAACATTTAAATGTCTTGCAATTGCCTAGTCAAAGCCCAGACCTCAATCCAATTGAGAATCTGTGGTATGACTTAAAGATTGCTGTACACCAGCGGAACCCATCCAACTTGAAGGAGCTGGAGCAGTTTTGCCTTGAAGAATGGGCAAAAATCCCAGTGGCTAGATGCGCCAAGCTTATAGAGACATACCCCAAGAGACTTGCAGCTGTAATTACTGCAAAAGGTGGCTCCACAAAGTATTGACTTTGGGGGGGGATGGTGTGAATAGTTATGCACGCTCAAGTTTTTTGTTTTTTTGTCTTATTTCTTGTTTGTTTCACAATAAGAAATATTTTGCATCGTCAAAGTGGTAGGCATGTTGTGTAAATCAAATGATACAAACCCCCCAAAAATCTAATTTAATTCCAGGTTGTAAGAAAACAAAATAGGAAAAATGCCAAGGGGGGTGAATACTTTCGCAAGCCACTGTAACTACAGAAATACCGGTTCTCTAAATATACAATACTGATTTTGAGCTGAAATACGATTTTCGGTGCCATCTATTGACAGTTTACACGGCCACACAGATTAACCGTATAACAGAAGTCAATGTCCTTCATAAAGATAATCCTGATATGTATGTGCAGATGGTGGAGTTAGAATTTTTAGACTGATTTTCTTTTAGAGATAAGCACACAGGCCATGGCCAGTGAAACTACTGAGATTATTGTAATCACTGAAGAAGCCACGCACACACACATCCAGAGGTTTTCTAAACATACAGGACATACATGCAACACGCCCACACCGTTAGTGCCATATGGTTACCACATATTTTGTCTGTATCTATAAAACTAAAGAGACATCAGGATGGATGTTGAGAATAATCCTAATACACAGTCTCACACAACTACATGCTTAGGCTAAACTATAAAGGTGGAGGTAAACTAACCTCATCCCCAGGCTCGAATTTCTGGCACAGAGCCTGGTATCACTGTGCCACAAAGTGGGACTTGAAATGGGTGTGATTAAAATCGAGGTGGGAGTGGGAGTGAGCCTGCTACAGCTGTATTAGATGGGACCAATCAAAATTAATGTTCTATCACATTGACCATATTATTTTTGGGAAGACCAATTGATTCTGAGTTCGGGCATATAACGTTTATATGTGAAAACTATTTCTAAGATGCGTATTTTCAGATTTTCCCATTTCTAAGATGCGTACTTTCAGATTTTCCGATTGCTTAAATCACTTAAACTGCTTGCGCTTTGAATTCCGCAATGTAGGGGGGAGGTTCTATAGGTTATGCTAGATTGTGATGCACTGAGGTGCTGTGAAACCAGATGGTTCGACAGAGAGAGCCAGCTGGTGGACGAGATTAGAGGCAAACCAACCAACTTTGAACTATAAATCTTCTTTATCATATATTTTTTTTATGTTGTGTGAAAACTCAATAAATATTTAATCACAAAAAAAAAGATTAATATTATGACAGCTTTCAACTATGTAGTCTACAATCAGTGCATTGTTCCATGTTGAGCTGTTCAGCTTTACATATTCTAGTGTGTGAAGTAGCTCCTTTTGTTGTTTGTAATGTGTATAACAAAAGTTGCTCTATGTACATCCAGTACAGTGCCTATAGAAAGTCTACACCCCCTTGAGCTTTTTTCATCTAAAAAGGGATTACATTCTTTTTTTTCTTCTACAGATCTACACAACCTACTCCACATTTTAAAAGAAAGTTATAGAACATTTTCCAAATTAAGAAAATGTTTTATTATTGAAATATCATAATTGAATAAGTCTCCACCCCACTAAGTTCATACTTTGTGGAAGCACCTTTAATATTCTACCAACTTTACACAACTCTTAGGGCAACATACAGTACAAGTCAAAAGTTTGGACACACCTACTAATTCAAGGGTTTTTCTTTATTTTTACTATTTTCTACATTGTAGAATAATAGTGAAGACATCAAAACTATGAAATAACACATATGGAATCATGTAGTAACCAGAAAAGTTTGAAACAAATCTAAATATATTTTATATTTGAGATTCTTCAAATAGCCACCCTTTGCCTTGATGACAGCTTTGCACACTCTTGGCATTCTCTCAACCAGCTTCACCTGGAATGCTTTTCCAACAGTCTTGAAGGAGTTCCCACATATGCTGAGCACTTGTTGGCTGCTTTTCCCTTCACTCTGCTGTCCGACTCATCCCAAACGATCTCAACTGGGTTGAGGTCGGGGGATTGTGGAGGCCAGGTCATCTGATGCAGCACTCCATCACTCTCCTTATTGGTCAAATAGCCCTTACACAGCCTGGAGGAGTGTTGGGTCATTGTCCTGTTGAAAAACAAATGATAGTCCCACTAAGCCCAAACCAGATGGGATGGTGTATCGCTGCAGAATGCTGTGGTAGCCATGCTGGTTAAGTGTGCCTTGAATTCTAATTAAATCACAGACAGTGTCACAAGCAAAGCACCCCCACACCATAACACCTCCTCCTCCATGCTTTACGGTGGGAACTACACATGCAGAGATCATCCGCTCACCCACACCGCATCTCACAAAGACACGACGGTTGGAACCAAAAATCTCCAATTTGGACTCCAGACCAAAGGACACATTTCCACCAGTCTCATGTCCATTGCTTGTGTTTCTTTGCCCAAGCAGGTCTCTTCTTCCTATTGGTGTCCTTTAGTAATGGTTTCTTTGCAGCAATGTGACCATGAAGGCCTGATTCACACAGTCCCCTCTGAACAGTTGATGTTGAGATGTGTCTGTTACTTGAACTCTGTGAAGCATTTATTTGGGTGCAATTTCTGAGGCTGATAACTCTAATGAACTTATCCTCTGCAGCAGAGGTAACTCTGGGTCTTCCATTTCTGTCGCGGTCCTCATGAGAGCCAGTATCATCATAGCGCTTGATGGTTTTTGCGACTGCACTTGAAGAAACTTTCAACGTTTTTGAAATGTTCTGTATTGACTGACCTTCATGTCTTAAAGTAATCATGGACTGTCATTTGTCTTTGCTTATTTAAGCTGTTCTTGCCATAATATGGACTTGGTCTTTTACTAAATAGGGCTCTCTTCTGTATACCCTCCCTACCTTGTCACAACACAACTGATTGGCTCAAACGCATTAAGAAGGAAAGAAATTCCACAAATTAACTTTTAAGAAGACACATCTGTTAATTGAAATGCATTCCAGGTGACTACCTCATGAAGTTGGTAGAGAGAATGCCAAGAGTGTGCAAAGCTGTCATCAAGGGAAAGGGTGGCTATTTGAAGAATCTCAAATATAACATATATTTTGATTTGTTTAACACTTTTTTGGTTACTACATGATTCCATATGTGTTATTTCATAGTTTTTATGTCTTCATTATTATTCTACAATGTAAAAAATATAAAAAATAAAGAAAAACCCCTTGAATGAGTAGGTGTGTCCAAACTTTTGACTGGTTTTGTATATCCATCATTTTTGTCAAAATTGCTCAGGCTCAGTACATTTGATTAGGGATCATTGATAGACAGCGATATTTAAACCTTGTCTCTGATTTCTTAAGCTGATTTAA